GTTGAAACGGGTTCTCGGAGTTTTAGGGTTTAGAAAGTTATACCTGCGCGGGGTCGACGGCGTTGGCTCGAGGGAAGGGAGAAGCATTTTTCTCTCTTTTTTGTGTAATTAGTTATAATTAAAATGATTAATTATAATTAATTATAATTAAATTTAATTAATTAATATTAATAATACTTAATTATAATCTAATTTAATTAATTATAATTAATATATAATTAATTAGTAATTAATTTAAATAAAAATTAATCATAATTGAACTTAATCAATTATGCTTAATTTTCTTTAAATAATTAATTCTAATTAAAAATAACTAATTATAATTAGATTAATTTTGTTATAATTAATTTATAATTAATAATAATTAATTAGAATTAATAAATAATTAATTATAATTAAATCTAATTAACTATAATTAATTTAAAAAAAAAAGTGCATCGCTTAAAAAAAGCTTAACAGAGAATTAAGTTCTCTGTTTTGGAGGTTTGGCTGAAGAAGCACGCAAAGGGGAGAAGTTTACTTTCACGGCCAGCTTGCTCCCTTTCTTGCGTCCGACTGAAATGTCGTAACTTCCTATTCGACAGGAAGGGAAAGTCGCAGAAGGAGCGGGGTCGGACGGCAAGGGATGAGGTAAGGATCTCCTCTCTCTCTCTCTCTCGGGCCGAAGAACCAGAGAGGGGAATCGGGAATGGGATCGGCTTGAGCTCGGCACAGGGGATGTAGCGACGGGAGGTCGATCGTGTGGGAAAGGGATTGGGCGTTGAGTGCGGGAAGGAAGAGCTCGGCTTGGGGCTGAGAGGGATCGGGAGGTCGGGATGACTGAGGGATTTCGCGTGGAGAGAGCTTCGGCAGTGGAGAAGGTAATTGAGTGCGGGAAGGAAGAGCTCGGCTTGGGGCTGAGAGGGATCGGGAGGTCGGGATGACTGAGGGATTTCGCGTGGAGAGAGCTTCGGCAGTGGAGAAGGTAGAGCAGCGGGATGGAGAGGGAGGAGCCCGGCTTCTATTTAACGATGCGCAATGGCGCTCGATCGAGGCAGACCGCAGGAATCCCGCGAGGAACGTCGGCTGGATTTGCAGGATTTGATCAGTTCGGCGCCGAATCGGCTTGATTTCGGGATTCAACGGACATGAGGTATGTATGTAGGATTTCAATTTTGCTTCTCTTTTGTTTCCTTTTGGGTATAACATGAGGGTCAACACGGGAGTGAGAGCAGAGAGAGTTGACGCGAGAGAGCGAGAGAGAGGAGTTCTCACGTTTCTTCGACACTTAACGCGATAGAGAGGTGAACGTGGGAGAAATGACGGGTCGTGCGAAGTATGGCGAGCACGATGACGTTCGTGGTCGGACAGGTACGTGCGATCCTCTCTTTTTTTATTTCATTTCACGTCAACAGAACTTTATCATATGCTTTTTCTAAATCAATAAATATCATATGTAGATCCTCATTCTCTCTATATTTCTCCATAAAACCTCAATAAATGTATGGCTTCCATAGTAGACCTACCAGACACGAATCCAAATTGATTTTGAGAAACATTAATATTACGCCGCAACCTATGCTCCATAACCTACTCTCATAGTTTTAAAGTATGACACATTAACTTAATTCCGCTATAATTCGTACACTCCTATGCATCACCTTTATTCTTAAAAATAAGAATTAACACATTCATTCTCCACTCATCTGACATCTTTTTAATCTTCAAAATAGTATTAAAAAATTTAGTAAGCCAAGAAATTCGTTCATCTCCCAAGTATTTACACACCTCTATTGGAATATCATCAGATCCAACTAAATTTTCCACATTTCATTTTCATTAAAGTCTCTCTAACTTCGGTTTTACTAATACGCAATAAAAGCAAAAATCTTTATTTTCATTTAGGGTGCTAAAGTCACTAAAGTCTATTGTATTTTTACATTCTTCATTAAAAAAAGTTTAGCAAAATATCTCATCCACCTTTGTTGAATATCATCATCTAAGAAAAGTACTTTTTGATCTTCATCCTTAATACATTTCACTTGAACTAAATCCTTATACTCCTATCTCTTTGTTTGGCTAATTTATACATATATTTTTCTCCCTTCTTAGTATATAATCTATTATATAAATTATTAAAAGCTAAGCTCTTTACATCACAAATAATTTTTTTAGATTCCTTACGAGCCTCTTTATAGCTTTTTCAATTATCAAAATTTTTACAACTAAACCAATTTTTATAACAAATCTTCTTATTTTTTATTTTTTCTTGCACATTTGGATTTCACCACCACTATTTATACTATTAAGAGTTTTTCTCTTCGAAACACCAAGCACATTTTTTGCAATATTTTAATATCACTGGTCATTTTTTCTCACATAACATTAGCATTCTCATGTACAGATAAAATCTTACTCTTAAAAATGCTTTTGTTAATATTCTTTAAATATCCCCATCTAATCATAGAATATTATTTTACTTTATTTTTTATTTTATACCCCTTTATCTTAAAGTCCAAAACTAATAATCGATGTTTGGTATATAGATTTTCACTCAGAATAATTTTATAATCTTTGCAATCTAAACGATCTAATTTTCTTATAAGAAAATAATTAATCTGTGTTTTACTATATTCATTTTTATAAGTGATAAGATGATCATCTTTTGTCTTAAATAAGGTATTAGCTATTAAAAAATCATAAGCTAAAGAAAAATCTAATATGGTCTTACCACCATCATTTTTCGTTCAAAACTCATGGCCATCATGAATGCTTTTAAATCATCTACCTGTCTACCAGCATGCTCATTTAAATCTCCTTCAATAAAAACTTTCTTCAAGATGTATCTTTTGTATTAATTTTTCTAAGTCATTTCAAAATTTTAATTTTGAACTCATATTCAAACCTATTTGAGGAGCATAAACACTTATAATATCAACAATCTTAGAATCAATAACAATTTTTAAAACTATAATTATATCTTCAATTCTATTAATTTTTATAACATTATCCTTCAAACTCTTATATACCATTTCTAGTACGACTTCTACCCGAAAATCATAATTTATATCCTAAACTATCAGTCTCCTTAGTATTTTCTCTAATCCATTTTGTTTCTTGAATGCACGGAATATTTATTTTCCTATGAATCATAATATCTATTAACTTCATTAATTTTCTTGTAAGAGAACCTATATTCTAAATTCATATCCTAATTTTAGTTTCATAGAATAGCTTCTTTGCCCACATTTGTCCTTGATGTGGGAACCCTTGCCTATTTAACACTGCAACCGGGTGCCGGTGCAACGGCCCTTGCACACTTGTCGTTGTATTCAGGCCATACATTGCTCCACTTCCAGGGGGCTCCCTAGCATTAACACAATTTTTTAAATAATTCATGTCATGATTATTCGACAAGTTTTACGTTGATTGTCGACTACTTGACGCAACCCTCCATTTTTCTCATCCAGGACTTGGGACCTGGCAACGACATGACAACATGAAGGAAAAGAACCCCTGTAAATAATCCATCATCAAAGATAGCAATCCACAGCATTTCATGCTAGTGATAGATAGAGAGGCACATTAATATGTAAAGTTGTTTGGGTTTGCAATGCATTTTTTTTTCTTTGTTTTCAGGCATTTATGTTGACCTTTGTATGCATTTCTCGATCGAGTCGGTCGAATGCAAAAAGTACGGCGATCAATTGACCTGATATTGCACAAGATAAGTTTGAAGCGCCTCAACTACAACTTAAAGCACTTAATCTAAGCTCGTTTGTAAAACAAACTGCATTGATGCATTTGAAATATCAAAATTACCAAAGAAAATATCATATGCGCTCAACTCAAACAACAGACTACAAAGACGAAAATCCACAAAAAAATCCTCGAACATCGCTCATTATGGGAAGCAAAGTACACCACTGTGTTGGGGGTGTTAAAATTATCTAAAAGTAACTATTGTGGGGGAGGAAGGGAGGAGAAACAATATTTTAGGGATTTTTTAATTATTAATAACAATATTTATTAAAAGTATAGTAATAATTATTATTATTTAAAAATATATTGATTAATTTTATTATTATTATTATTATTATTATTATTATTATATATATTGCATACCTCTAATTGCTTGCGTAAATAGACGCAGCATTGTTACTTCGCGTGCATGTGAAATTTTCAATTTTCGCCATGCGGAGACTCCATCCAATAAACGTGTCTATTTAAGATGTTTCACAAACATAGGCCGTTTTGGTAATTTCAACTTTCGATCGACCTTGTAATAGTTATTGAGGTCAATACGTTGTTGCATCAAGCACCATCCGTCGTCAATAGCAGAGTTTGGTTGTGGTGTGTTCGAAATTCAACTAAATTTGTGTGAGTTTTGAATACATCAAAAATAAACTACGTGGTAGATTTTGAATTCACCAAAATTTTGTATTCATTTTTTATCAAATCAAACACCAAAATTCTTAGAAACCATACATTTTGGAATACTTTTACACTTTTCATCAACAAAACAAACCCTGAATTTGCTTTACCTTCTAGTTCTTTTACTTCATATTCATTTTGTAGCAAATCAAATGACCCATTGATGTCATCTCCTTTAAAAATCTTTATTAGATCTTTTTTTCCAACCATTTTAGATTTATTAACTATATGTTACACTGCTTATGCCACAATACTCATTGAAATCTTCTCTCAATCTCTAATTATCACGCTTATTTGAGCAACATTCCAATCACGAAACTTCCAACATATATAGCCGTTAAAATTTGCCATCCATTGGGCGGTTTCATTACTGTTCCATTGTAAGAAATTGCTATTTACATGCTTTTCTTACCTAGATCTCAATCATGAATCACCCCAAATTTACATTTGATAACCATATTGATGAAGAACTCTCACCACCCACAGATTTAAAGAAAAGAAGTGCATCTCCAAAACGGCACTCGATCGATCCCATCGCCGGTAACTTCTCTATTTGCCATTTCTCTTGCATTTCAAACTTCTATATTTCCTTTGAATTTCCAACCATTTCATGCTTCAGGTGATTCAGCCATGGAATCCAGAAGATCATCTGAAGAACCAACAGACACGAAGACGATTTCATCATCAGATCCAATGTCTCCTTAGCTATCAAACTTCAAAATCTGGTATGTAGCATTGGCAATTAATGGCCTCCTTGTTTTAGTCAGGTCAGTCAATGTCAGTGGCTTCAATAAGCTATAAAGCTACCATTTTGTAGAACTATTATTTGAGTATTTAGGTGTACAGAGCAATGTATTAAGGATGGCCAGAGAAAGCCCTTCAAGTGGTTTGCTTTGGTTCTTAAACCTGCTTTTGTGGATAATTTTAGTTTGGTGGTTATTATAAACAGACTGCCCAGGTTGGCAGGGCAATAAACAACTGGCCTTCTCTTGTGGCAGTTTATGGTTTGATTTTTGTTGAACAATAATAAAAAGACTATTTTCTGCTTTTTTTGTCATTCCCTCTTGCCAAATGAATTGAGCTTGAAAAAGAAACTGTTGGATTTTGATTGTGATGTGTTTAAAACTATTAGAATTATTTTAATGTGAATGTGATTCATAGAAAATTAATGAAATTTTGTATTGTGTTTATTTGCAAGTAAATTCAGTGCAATTAAAAATTTAATCAAAATATTATAAGAAGTCAATGTTTTTTGGGAAGTTAAGCATTGTTTGGGACGGCTTAATTAGCACCATTTTCGTTTCAAAATGGGGAAAATATTTTCGGTCGTTATTTGGAAGCCTATTTTTTTTGTAGAACTTTGTTTTTTACACCCTTGTTATCTTACTGATTTGTAAAGACTTTTTATTTTCCTTCTCCATTAGTTAAAGGTCTTTTCGGAACAACCGTTCTCATCGAGAAAAGAGTTTTACTATCGTACGAGGTATTAGGTCTCGTTTGAGACGGATTAATTTTACCTTTTCTACTTTGAGATGGCATAATTATTTTTTGATTGCCGTTTGTATGAGGCGCTTCTATAAAAATGATTTTCACAAAACATTATTTTTTGTACTATTTTGATAAGCTTTTTAATATTTGCTGCTTCAATAGAAACCTTTACTTCAAACATGATGTGAATGGTGATACTAATGGTTGCTTTGTGGGTTATAAATAACCCTTATAAGAAATTGCAAAGTTTTGATACTAAATAGGGATGAAGCTATGATAATGAATAAGATTAAGCAAATGAGTCTCAATTTTAGATTTAGGTTTCGTTTGAGATAGCTTTCTTACTGCTTTTAAAAGTATCTTTCTAGTACAAAATTTTTTATATTTGTGCAAGAAAGATGCTTTTAGAAACAGTAAGAAGGTCGTCCCAAACAAAACAAATACAATAATAAATGAGATATTTCAGCCAAGTTTTTTTTAATTTTCCATATACTAACAGAACAATATCAATCAGCTAAAATCCCACTTATTGGGGTAAAGACTTGACGCTGTTGTTAATAAAAGACAATTCAGTCTGAAAATCTACCATCCACCGAATTATATAAAAAGGTGTCGAGATTTCAGTCTGAAAATTCCTGCCTGCTAAGCATTAAATTGAAAGTCTCAAAGGAAACAAAAAAACATTTTCTAAAAGAGTTTTTACAAATCATTAAAATAGATTGGAAAAAAAGCTATGGCTTACAGATATAATTAACCTCACGTTAGTATATAATTTTCAAAATAAAGTTACAAAAGAGACTATAAATATATGACCTGCAAGTTAACATTTTCATGTTCAGTTGCAGATTTTTACATCCTCTTTTACAGATTCCACCATAAGGTCAGGATACCTTGAACATTTGTTAGCAACAGTAGCAAAAAAGATTGAGAGGTTCTGAAGCCATAATCAACTGTGAATACCATTAAAAACTGCACAGAATAGAGCATCTGATGCAGTGTTAAGATATTGGTAGTTTAAGGCTTCATTTGGGACGGGTTTCTTACTATTTCATAAAACAATTTTTTAATACAACAATAAAAAATTTTATACTAAAAAGCTGCTTTAAGAAGCAGAGAAAAAGTCGTCCCAAACGAAGCCTAAATATGTTGAAAGCAGCTTCTGGAGAAGTTTACTTGATAATGAGGACATGAACATCCCAATTATCTCGTCCATTCTCTACAAGGCAGACTCCAGATTATCAACTACTGCTATAAGAGAAGAATTTCCTTCACAAGTAGCCATAAGCAGTTCTAATCTTCGAATGATCTCAATAGTATGCAGTGGATCTTCTGAAACTGGCAGTTTATATTTCACAAGATGGAGTAGCATGCTCTACAAAGCCATTCAAACAGAAATCAGAGACTGAACAGGGTAATTTAGGTTTCGTTTGGGATGACTTTCTTACTGCTTCTTAAAACAATTTTTTAATACAAAAATTAAAAATTTTATACTAGAAAGCTGTTTTAAGAAGCCGCAAGAACGCCGTCCCAAACAAAACCTTAAAAATAGAGTAGAGTGGTATTATATAGTAAAAGGTCACGAGGCTTTCAGAACTTGTAGAAAGCAGTTTTTGAAAGAAAATCACTTTCTATAACCAGTAATTGAACATGTATGAAATTGAATATAAGGATCACTTACAAAATTATGTTCCTTGTGCGAATAACTGCGGAGGAGAGATTTTGTCAACTTTTTGCGCAAGTTTAGCTTGTCTGGAGAGAAGGAATTGAAAAGAAAAGAACATAGGTGATGTAGAGCTAGAGAAAAACTTAGTGAGCCTCGGGTAAAAGCTTTATCTAGGGAACCAGAAGTCCATGACTTTGCATAGGCCTCCAAAATTGCTACATTGTCCTGTAAAAGGTTTACCAGTTAGCTCAATACGCAATTTGATATATAGAAAGCAATGAGGAGATTCCAGGTCCTGATCTAACTTCTCAGGCTTAAGAAAGATTATTCTGTGCAGACACCGGACACAACTTACTGTCCAGAGACGAATAAAGTGCAGCCACGTTATCCAGTACCGAGCTCGGTACTGAGCAGTACCGAGTCGCGGTACCGAGTAGGGGGTGATGTGACGCATTTTCATTGGGCTCTGGACGACGTCCGGTGTCCGCACCTAATAATTTTCCTAGGCTTAAGGTGCCCTATTCTGGTAACTAGGCACCGCTTAGCCTACAAACCAGTCAACGGTCCAGAAAATTATTAAGAATTGTAAAAAAAAAGGAAAAGAAAAAGATGAGTTAACTTAAATCTTAGCATTCAAGGATGTGGGTTATTAACATAAGGTGTGTGGAGCTCTCATCCTTCTAAAAGAATGGTAGTCTCTCTCTTTTTATATATGTACAGGAATGTTAATATATTTAATAATCAGGAATTTCTCTGTCTCAGTAGATTTCATATCAAAGTATAGTTCTAAGCTCCAAAATTCGAAACTAAGAGGTTGATGTTCATTTCCAAGCATTGAAACCTACAGAGTGGTTAAAATTTACAGGATTCTGCAATAGGTTGGCTGTTGATCAAATAGGGTAACCATATGGACGACCCAATTAGACTGATAAAATAGTTTATATTTTCTATCGAGTAAATTGCTCAAATTTAGTGACATTTATGCATGCCTTACTTTTCAATTTGAAAATGATTAATGTATTCTGTTTTCAAAATTCAACAAAATAATTCACTTTTTCGCATCATTTATCATATAATCTTGATAAGCTCTTGTGTTTGAATGTTTAAGCAAAGCCATCATATAGCTCTATAAATTTTGTTGTTCAGTATTTCTTATATGACAGATCAAGATTCGGGCTTCGTTTGGAACGGCCTTTTTACTGTTTTCTACAACAACTTTTTAGTACAAAAATTAAAATTTTATACTAAAAAGCTGTTGTAAGAAGCAGTAAAAAAGCCATCCCAAATGAAGCCTCAGTATAATCTTGATAAGCTCTTGTGTTTGATGTTTGAGCAAAAGCCATCGTATAGCTCTATAAATTTTGTTGTTCAGTATTTCTGATATGACAGATCAAGATTCGGGCTTCGTTTGGAACGGCCTTTTTACTGTTTTCTACAACAACTTTTTAGTACAAAAATTAAAATTTTATACTAAAAAGCTGTTGTAAGAAGCAGTAAAAAAGCCATCCCAAATGAAGCCTCAGTGTGTGTGCGATTTGGAAGTGAAAAAAGCGTATGGTTCACAATGTCAAAAGACTATTTAAAGAATATTCTAAAGATCAAAACCAATGGCCTCAAGCTAGATAAGCTAAATTATCTAAATTAAATCCCATCATAAATGGTTAAGGTATTGTAAACTTTCATGTTATACTTAAATATTATTTATAATGAAATTTAGAAAATCAACTACTAGGATATCCTAGGCGAGCTTCCAATGTAAAAAAGATTTAATTATAGAATCTGAAAAAAGGTACCATCAACTTTTATATATGCCTTCTATTTAACACACACTAGTATATCATAGGTTTAATGTGCCTAATAGACTACATCAGCTACCAATGTGAGGTTGGATTCTTGCATCTTTATGTGCACAAACTAACAAAGAAGCATTCTCTCTCTCTCTCTCTCTCTCTCTCTCTCTCTCTCTCTCTGTGTGTGTGTGTATATATATATATTATTATATGTATGACATCCCAATTATCAATGCAAAAAGAGAAGAGAAGTGTCATTCATTACCTCAGGAGGTTCTAAGTATCCTTCAGCTTCAGAAAAGCACATTTCTAACGGTGGTAAAAGTTCAAGCAAATAGGAATTAGACAATGCATTCCATGCGGAAAGCCTGATGGAACTATCAACAGAACGATGCAAATAAATAGCTACTTGCCGGCCAAAAATTATGTCACCATATGATACAGCTCCAAATTGCTCAATGAGGTTCTCAACAAAAGTGGAGTAACCCTCATTTATTTGTGATTGGAAGGACAAAACTTCGCTAGGATTGTCACGAGTTTTCAACGAAGAATCACAAAATTCCTGCTTCTCTTTATGCTTCAATTCATCAAGCTGTTTTCCATACACTTCTTGCAATGATTCAAATACATCTCTAGTCCTCTCTTCTTCAAGCACGGCCATATTAACATGCAATGACATAGATAAGGCATGTAACTTCCAAACTAATGAAACATGCAAAGTTGGAGATTCCTGAATAGCAAACATTGAAGAGGACAAAGCTTCTAGGCATAAGAGAAAGAAGAGTCCGCTTTTCGCCACTTCAAGTTCATTTGATGAATTCAAGCCAGAACTTTTTTGTTCACCAATGCTGCAGATTGCACTAAGAAACCAATGTGTAGGAACTGGCATCCTCTGATGAACCCACTCTATGCAAAATGAACTGAAAGAAGTATCTTTAAAAGAAACTTCGGGTATCTCTTCGTTCTCTGGCGCCTCATGAATTGTTTCTAAAACAGCACTTTTTCTTGGAAATCTATGACTTTGATAGCGCTCATCGGCATCACCTGAGGACTTCGTCTTAATACTTAACCACCTCTCTCTAAAATGAGAATTTAAAATCTTACTGAAAAGTAGATAGTCTTTATCCTCGTATTGCCATTTAAACGGTTTCAATCTCTTGTCATGCTGAAGAAAATGATGAAGGGAGAGGCCAAGATACTTCAAAACAGGAGATTGGAACAATATATTTAACGCAGACTCCATAATAACTCTAGCTCCAGGCCCAGCAATCAAACAAACTGCGAGAACACAATTTACTCTATGTAAAACAAGATTCATTGGGTTGGGAGATTTTCCAAATGCTGGATTCATGGCTTCTACACGAGAAGAATCTCTCTCATGAACAATTGGTAAGGTTTTGAATAATTCCAAGACGAGCCGAGCATCTTCTTGTGCCTGCAAGATGTTTAATGACCAAAAACCTCCACCAGGTGAACCCCATCCTACACCAACCCCCGGAGCGGGCCCACCTCGGCCAAATGTCTCGAGAGATTGTATCATTGCCCATTCAGCAGAAACCAAGTTCCCAAATACATCCAATACTCTAATAAGATCCTCTCTAGTCCATTTAATCACCCCTTCTGCTAATACCTTACCCTCCATGTCTAAGCTATTTTCTGCAAGAAGCTGAATGTTGCATGCATTTCTTGCTCTCTGAATGCAGCCATCAATTAATGAGACAAGTTTAATTAACCCATGAAGACAGCTTAAGGAAGACAACGCCATATCAAAATTATTTTGTTGCCTCAAAAAACAAAGTCTCTCAACTAAAGAGCAACATGTATTTCCTTCACGACTGATATCACTTAAACCAGTGATGCTCAAAAATCTATTTTTCACAATTTCGGTGCCAACTTTAGGAACAACTTCTGGCAACCATGGCAAGCTTGTAGAGTTACTCATATCATCATCTCTACTCGGGCTCATTTTAAAGAAGACACAACAAAGCATGTGCAGTACAGCTGAAATCACCCAAATCATGCTGCTTTCTGATGAATTATAGATATCATTTTCTTCGAAACGGCAAGCAATCAAAACATATGGGATGTCATTTATAGATAGCCAACTTATAGCTAAGTCTATCATTGGAAGAACATGACTCCAAGACCAAGTTTCTACAGCATCATCGCCAAGGTCGGTGTCTTGCTTAATTAGTTGATCGACCGAATGAAGGCATGGAAGCCATTCAGCAAGAGCACCTAGAGTGAGGTAAGCTTCCCTGGTGATATGAGCAAATTCATCAAGGACATTAAATTTAAGTAGCTTGCTGAATGTAGGCCTACTAAGCCATAGACACATATTTGGGAAAAAGTCAGCAAAGAATGTTACACAATATCCATAACTAATACAAACTTTCCACAGGCGAAGCTGTTCAACCATCAACACAGCAGTAAGCTTACAGTGTTCCTTTCCAGATTCCACCCAATGATCAATTGTCTCAAGATTTCTGTACCAGTGCCACATTACTTGTTGAAAAACACCACCTTTCACAAAATTCAGGCATAGGCGCCTATCCATTTGAGACAAAACCTGTAAAAAGAACATTGCAACACAATCAGAAATGGCTTCACACTAAATAAGAAAGTTACAAGCAAATAATTCCTGAGCATTCAGTTGACCACATCAGAACGAAGAGCAAGCTTTCATTAAAAGGTTACTTGGCAAAATAATAATAAACAAAGTGAGGGCACAGAGATGGGTAGTTCCCTATTCATCTTCATGATTCATGAGTGAATTTAATCGTATATGCTATCAATGAGAAGAAGGAAATCTAAAGTACTCAAGTTTTTTTTTTTTTTTTTTTTTTTTTTTCAGAATTGATGTTGCACTCCGACCTTAAATGAGTTAATAAAACAGCCACAAGATGAATGGAACAAAATTTCAGAAGGCATTGACTGGTCATTTTCAAAAAGTAACTCCAACCTACAATAAAGGAAACATAAAGATAATGTAAGCATGACCACTAAGTCAGATCGAATATTCCATAATTAGTCTTTTTTTAGATCTTCATACACACAAGCAGGCATTATCTTCCTATCAATTTATGCAAGACTTATGATAATGCCCAAACAATGGAAGCTTGCCCCTATCCCAGAAAGCCACTTTTTGAAGAACCTGGAATGAAATGAGGCTATCAGCCACATACGATGTTTCCCAAATAGGTTATGTATTCTTCTTTGTCATCCATTCATAAAGATGGCAAATATAGATAAATCAATCTAAACAACTTTTGACCATATTTCCTTAGACCGATCCTCTTGATAACCACAACAACAACAACAACATCAAGCTTTTGTCCCACTATATGAGGTCGGCTACATGAATCCTTTTTCGCCATTGTGTCCGGTTAAAAGTCAAACTCTCATTTAAATCTAATAAAGAAAGATCATTTCTAATATTTTTTAACCAAGTCTTTTTAGGTCTACCTCTACCTTTCTTAACATAAGTCGAATCTAAAACCTCAACTTTCCTAACCGGATCATCGGAAGGCCTCCGTTTAATGTGACCAAACCATCTAAGGCGACTCTCTCTAATATTATCTTCCACTGGAGCTACTCCAAACTTCTCACGTATATGCTCATTTTGTATCCTATCTCTAAAGGTCAAGCCATTCATCCACCTAAGCATCCTCATCTCTGCAACACTTAACTTAGTATTATGCTTCTCTTTTAATGGCAAATATTCAGCACCATAAAGCATTGCAGGTCTCACCACCATCCTATAGAGTTTTCCCTTAAGTTTGAGGGGGACTTTTCTATCGCACAATAAGCCCGATGCATTCCTCCACTTCAACCATCCAACTTGAATTTTGCTGATAATATCCCCATCTATTTCATCATCACTCTGAACAATAGAACCAATATATCTAAAACGTGTACTCTTATTAATGACTTGATCGCCCAAAGTCACAATCCCCTCACTAGGTCTATTGCTACTAAAATTACACTCCATATATTTTGTTTTAGATCTACTCAAGCGAAAACCTTTAGACTCTAAGGTTCAAGTTTACCTTGAACTCCCTCTCTAGTCTTATCAACAAGAAGAATATCATCAGCAAAAAGCATACACCAAGGTACATCCTCTTGCAAATGTCTGGTGAGAACATCCATGACTAAAGCAAAAAGATATGGACTTAAGGTTGATCCTTAATGTAATCCAACCGAAATAGGAAAATACTTGGTCAAACCACCTTGTGTTTGAACACAAGTAATAGCTCCTGCATACATATCTTTAATGATTTGAATATAAGCGTTATTAACTCCTTTCTTTTCAAGAACTCTCCATAGCACTTGTCATGGAACTTTATCATATGCTTTCTCTAAATCAATAAATATCATATGTAGATCCTCCTTATTCTATTTATATTTTTCCATCATACCTCTCAATAAATGTATAGACCTACTCGGCATGAATCCAAATTGATTTTGAGAAACATTAGTATCACACCGCAACCTATGCTCCATAACTCGCTCCCATAGTTTTAAAGTATGATACATCAACCTACGCCCCATATCCTCTTGATAACCATTTCAGAAAAATTGTGACTAAATTTTTATCATCTCTTATCTTGCCTCGAAAACAATGTAATCGCCTCATGAAGTAGGTCATCAAGAAGCATACAACCATCTTGAGAAGCATATCCCTGCCTTGAGAGGCATGTCACTATTTTGAGAAGCATGTCATTGCCTCGAAGAGCATACAACTACTCCAAAAAGTGCATGGCCATTTTAAAAGTAAGAAAATGCAACAAATAAAATACATTAAAAAGCGTGTGAATAAACTATACAATATATTGAGAAGCATTCAAGTGCATCGCATAGGCACATCGAATGATACACAAGCATATTAAAAAGTTTGCAAGTACATCTCAAATTAAAATACCAACATGTGCTCTAAAGAATGCGCTAAATGCTTAAACATAAAATCCAAGAATATTGCGCATGTTGAGAATAAATTGAATTAAGTGTGCAATTGCTCTACAAAGCTTGTAATCATTTTAAAAATCACAACTTTCCTAAATGTCAGGCCTGAAAATGTTGCATGGACAAAAAATAAAATGAACTTTGATCAAACCCAAGCCTCAGCAGGCAAATTGACAAAGTTAACTAAGTCAAATATAACAAAATAAAAACATTCAAATACCCTAATGATGGTTGTAATGAAAGAAAATCTCAAACAGAGGGGACCATTCTCAAATCAATTTTTCAAGTAGCAAATAAAGATGCTTCAAGTGACTTCAATGACACCTTAATAATGGTCATGTTGAAAAAAAAAATCTCAACATAAAAGGTCCATTCTCAAAATCAAATTTTCATGTTACAAATATAATATTTCAAGCAATATCAAAAACACGCCAATGATGTTAGTTTTAAAAGAAAATCTCAACTAGAGGGGTACACATTCAAAATTAAATTTTCATATTGCAATTATATATACTTCAAGTGAATTTAATGCCACCTCAATGATAATCACATTGAAAGTAATTCTCAATCAGAGGGGATAATGTCTAAAAAAAGCCAGCAAATCTCAATGCAGAACATTTTTTGTTCACAAACAGACTTAAATTAAAAAATTAAATTAAATTACATAATAAAAAATTGGTCAAGCAAAATTTACCAATCCAAAACTCAAAAGAAAAATTCATCAACTCTATGCAACTATTTATCGAGAGAAATAAGTAGCTTCTTAAACATATCGCTACAATTCATTCTCAAATGATCTCTCACCGCGGCACGTGTCCTCTAATTGAAAATTTTGCTACCAAAACAGCATCACAAATAAATGACTATAACCGAGTGTTTTTGCCGCTATATGGCATCATAAAATTACGGTTAAGGCCAAATCATGTAAGTTCACTAATAGATAAAAAGACCATAAGTAATGAATCATAGGGCAAGTTTTATAGGACACAAATTTTGTGCTACTAAAAATTGGCTTGAGGTTATCCACTTAGATAAATGTTCACTCCAAGTTTACAATGAACATTGAATGAAGTAACCCATGGCTACCAACTAAGATCATTCCACTAAGTTATATCAACTATAATTTAAAAAAAAAAGTTAGGTCAACTACCTCAGTTGACTAAATAGACTAGAAATCATAAATCAGGAGAACAACATCATGAGATCTTGATAAGATTCATCATCATTCCCCACCATCCACTTTAAGTATAAGATTGCAAATTTCAAATCCTAATATTAAATTTGCTACTATTATACGCTAAGCACTTAATATCTATCTAACGACTAACCTTAATCGAAAGTTCTTTCACGTTATTGGAAGAAGTAATTAACCATGGAGGCACCTACAGGAAACCTGAAATCAACTCATAAAATTCTAAGAAAGAACAATAATAGAAATCAGTAAATCACCTTTGAAATATCTGTAACACACACCCATAAAAGGAGAATTATCTCCTGGAAGTTGTCATCAAAACCTACGAGTGCTCGAAGAATCCAAATATAACAAATATAACACAAGAGTTGAGAAGAAAACAAAAGTTTTATTTCACTATTCAAAGTTCAATGATTTTTGCATCTCTAAAAGGGAAAATAAATTCAAGAAATAAAGAAAACTTAGTTATCCAATTAGTCTAAAAATTATGAACTAAATTCAAATCAAACCAATAAACAAAAGAAATAAGATCACCCAACCAACCTCCAGCAAGATAATCTGACAGGTATTTCAACGGATAAATTCCAATTTTAGATTTCAGACAGCTTGAAGAGATCAATTCTCCTAGTTCAAGAATAAACTGCAATCTTAGTGATAGGCGAGAATGTGTCAAGTTACTATTATAATATTTTCTTAAATCTGACATTAAAAGGGATACAGGACCAAAGAAAAGTGCACATAATCACAATGACTAACAAAGTGCAGGGGCTACTAAAACCAACATAAACATTTAAACCCAACAGTATCAGAGAACTGGAAAGAACTTAAAACGACTGGTATACTCATATGAAGGTAAAACCTTACCTTTAGTACAGTAATTGCTTTTATCTGACATGGAAGTTCCATCATGCCTTGCCTTGTCAAAATGCTAACAACATTTTGAATAAGCCTTGGGCATTGAAAGATAGCATTTGAACATGTTGGGGAATGTCTAGCCAACCCGATGAGCAATGACAAAAGGCATTCTACTAAAGCTGGAATGGGTTCCATCTGAATGAAGACATCTTCAAATAAACATTGAGTACAAGGATTATTATTTAATTAAATTAACATGATACAATTGAGAATCTAAGAGAAATAGAGGAAGGCATAGAAATCATATTAAAAATAAAAAATGTTATATGTTTTGTTATCTCTAAGAGATACTAGAAAGCTCCTGCATCTGTGTACTAATTCTTAAACATTTCGCATTATTTCTTTGTTCTTAAATTGTCAAAATATCAAAATATATACCAAAAAAGAGTCTAACAAAAATAAATCAAACATATAATATATTATTAATTTTTGTTTAATGATTAAAGGGACAAAGGTTCTTGGGATATAGGTTTTAATACCCATTTAAGCGAAACTAATCCATGGTTTTACCAAAAGAAGACAATTCAAAATCAAAACATGGCATTTCAGATGATTTTAAGTAAAAAGCCAACAAATGGTTATGCAGCATAGCAACAAAGATAGCAGCAACTTAACCAAAACAAACTTTAATGAGAATATAGGTATATCTGTATTTAAAAAGGAAAGATTCCAACACCCCAAAACTCTTATGGGTAGATACCACCTAGCTTATTGCCTGTTGAAGGGAAAGCTATATATAGCTATTGGGAACAAACAAGATAAAATGATGAAATGCACGCCTATAATAAGGAATTAGCATCATAATCATTAATATTATGGTCCTTCGCATTCAGGGAGAATTTATTTCCAATACTCGATATTAAAAAGAAATATGTGAAACTAACCTCCAAAAGGTAGCAAATTCTAGGAAGCACGCCCATCCTAACAAGACCGGCAGCAACATCTTGACCAGCTACAAAAATATCATCTTGAATAGTATGTTTCTCTTCAGCTTCATCCTCATTATCCATGTTTGATGATAGTATATTTGATGGCTTTGTGCTATACTTCCAAAATCCACCTTGCAGAAAGCTGCTATCAATTTCTGCTCTGCTCCGGAAGATGGGAGCGGTGCAAAGAACTTTTTGCATGGAAGGAACTTTCTGAAAAAAGGAACTAATTGATCTGAAGTGTAAGCTAGAAAAAGAAAGGCAATCTAGGAAACATTGATCAATCCATCTTACCTCGGCAACATTAAAGAAGCTCTCATTCATGTCACAGCTTAATACACATTGAATTACTTTGGCGCAAGCCAAAACAACAGAATTATGATTATCATCCAAAGCAATCCTGTGATTTGTATCAAACAAAATGCCATTGTGTGATCAAAATTCAGAAACTATCATCAATGATTTAGATTCATATTAAAATCAATACATTCTATGGCAACATAAAGCATAGTAAACAGTTGTAATAGATGAGCAAAACTTGAAATTTAAAAAAATGGTTAAAATTCTTTAAGTTCCCAAAAAAATTGAGTTCTAAAAGATTTTACTCCATATAAAAGTTCAACTTCGATGTAATATTTATTGGAAATATAAGAGAATGAGGTTAGGCACTGCAGGCGTGGCACTTGGGAAAGAAAGGATGAAAAACAAATGCCATAAAACCTTGGTTATTTTAGCTTTACTATAGCCATGTACTTGCATTTTACTCATTGATTTTGATGGAGGAGAAGAATAGTTTGATGTGCATTTTTCACTAGTATACCCCCTATATAATAGGGGAATGAGTATAATTTTCTTTACTACATCAAATCAACTTATTCCGAATAAATTATTATTTTTAGAATATATTGTAGGTCTCATTTGTCGCATAGATTTTAAAAAAGTAAGGACCAAAATCCTTACTAAAATTATCAGCAAATTATTCTTCATTATCAATATGATGAGTTGTGATCTTAAATAGAACAACGTCACAAATAAAGTGATAGTCGATTTTGATGTAATTATTCTTTCATGGAAGACTATTTGCTTCTTATTTCTCCAATTTCTTAAAGTTTAGACGACAATTTTACCCTTAGACCCTATCAAATCTTTATAAGATATGTTGAATAAAATAAATATTTTATTGGATTTGCAAGGATAGGAATAAATCTTTTTTTGTGAGCTATGATTTTTTTATTGACTTCTGGAGATCATGTGCAATCCTATGGGATTTTATGTTTCCAAACTCGTCTTGTTATAACTATAATTAGAAGTTTGGAAGGAGGGATTTGGTATCCCTCAACATCAAAAAAATAGTGAGAACAAGGTGAGGGGAAGAGGCTAAAATTCCAGAAAAAAAGGTGTTTTTGGGTGCTTGGAAATGGAGGTCTTCAGCTTCTTCAAAAGGAAAGAGATTACAATATTTTTTGCTCGAACAAAAGGAGAAGCTTTCAGATCTAGCAGAAAAAAGCTCTTGTTTAAACTCTTGCAGCAGAGAAAGAATGAAAGTGCTTGAACTCTTGCAGCAGTGAAAGAATAATAGAAAAAGCTCTTGTTTGAACTCCTGTGGCAGAGAAAGAATGAGAATAAGTACAACAACAACAAGACCTCCATATATAACCATTGTCTTGTGGTAGATGGTTGCACTCTCTCATAAATTGACACATATAAAGATATTTCTCTATCTTTATCTCAAAATTTTATATGAAGTGTAAACTCTCTATGTACCTCATGTGAAACATAGTGGCTTATTCTATCTCTATGCAAACAAGAATATAGCTAGATCTCACTAAAATATGTAAAATTTGTTTGTGCTTTTGGTTGTTAGTATTTCTGTATTGATTTCTTGGTTTCACATGTTTTGTCTGTCACTATTTTTTGCCTACTAATTGGAATGAGAGCTTTTGGTTAAGCAGGTTCTCATATTAAAATAATGTAAGATGGGAAGGCTAAGATTAAAAAAATTGATAACCAAGTTTTTAACTATGGGAAGATGTAAATGAAGATTAACTTTATCAAAGAACACTTCATCAGTCTTTGAAATGATCAAAGCATTTTAATTTATTGATCAAATAGAGGGGTGTTCATCGACAAGCAAGTGCTAGTAGTTATTTTATTGTCCCTAAAAAAGAACATTACATTCAACATTCTCATCAAATATGTATTAAAAGCCCTATGTGATTAACAAGATACATCTTAAACACAAATCTATTAATCTTACAATGTTTGAAAGAGCTTCTACATCTAAACTAATCTTACAATGTTTGAAAGAGCTTCTACATCAATGAATTTAACTCTCAACCATAAGTCAATTAAGCTCTATAGACAAAAACTTTGAGGGTAAAACTCGTGCATGGAGTTTTCTTTCATCAATACAGAAAGCTACAACAATGTCATAACAGTAGTCAATAGCTCATAAGTAAGAAGGTTAATGACGTTAGAAATCTTATTCTTAGTGAAGGCATCTAAATTGGAGTAGCTCCAGTAGAAGATAAGATTAGAGAGAGTCGGCTTAGATGGTTTGGTCACATAAAAAGGCGGCCTTCCGATGATCCGGTTAGGAGAGTAGAGGTATTAGATTTGACTTGTGTTAAGAAAGGTAGGGGTAGACCTAAAAGGACTTGGTTAGAAAATATTAGGAATGACCTTTCTTTATTAGATAAACGAGAATTTGACTTTTAATAGGACATAATGGAGAAAAAGGATTCATGTAGCCGACCCCACGTAGTGGGATAAAGGCTTGATGTTGTTGTTGTAGTGAAGGCATCTAAATGTGCACGCCCGATGAAATTCCTTCATCTTCTATTTTGAATGTCGATGATAAGAGCATTCCTCAAAATAAAAGTAATCATCAAGGTAGAGCAAATCTAAATCATGAAACAAGAGCCAACAAACACATCAAAATAGAAGCAATATATTATTATGGCTGATGTTAGAACTGTGAAAAACCAAGAAACATGGAAATGGTTTGTCACCAAAAAAAAAGATCAAGGTAACTTTCGAAGGATGAGACAATAAATATTGTCAGGCAAAAGCTACATGATGCATTGACTCTCACTATATATTTTTAAACTAAGATGCATCGATATTAATATAGTAACACGGATAAGAACTAATTCCAAGTAGGTATATGATGAGAGCAACAAAGGCGGATGGGAATAAGGAGAATATATGTGCTCCTAAGTTTTTTTTTTTTTAGATATGAGAAGAAATGTTGTGATGCAAGCAGCTTAAAGCAAAAACACAAAGAGAGAACGACAAAGAGAATCAAGACTCACTTTTAGAAATTTAAGACACCACTTGGAGAACAAAATAGACTAGATAAAACGATTGAAATTCAGATTAGACAAGAGCCAATCATCCAACAAACCCAACAAAAGAAGTTAGCAAAAGAAACAAAACAAAATTTAAAAAAACGCTATCCTCAGAACATCCTACAAGAGGACTCCTCACATGCACCATTTGTAGGAATATATATTAAAATAAGGTTTAGATATGCAAACCAAAGGGTCCACCACTGCAAAGGGGTTCCAATGTCCTACCAAACTCCTCCAGCAAATGCCACCAAAACAACCAACAACTTCACCAAAACAGCCAACAAACTTTACCAACGGAACTAGAAGAAAGATACAGGTGGAGTGGAACTTGCGTAGAGAAGAAAGAGGTTAGAAGCCCAGCGAAGGGTGGGAAGAAACTCGCAAGTATTCCCTAGAGGAGAAAGAAGATGGAACAAAGCTCGCAAGCTTTTCCAAGAAGAACCCGCGGGTTATAGCAACTTTGCTCTCAATATTCACCAACCCATTTCATCTCAAGGCATCCCATATATATAAGCAATAAAGGGAAACTTAACAGCCCAAAAACCCTTCAAATTCTCATATAAAAATAATATAAATGAAAGGCCAAAAGTCACCTTGCTGAAATCCCAAGAGTCACAGCATTTCTCAAGGAGGAGGCCACGGTTCCAATCAGCCAAGCACAGGATACCAGGAGCGAAAAATCGGGACCAGCCAAAGTCATTCCACGGGAGAAAAAGGGGGAAGTCACGGCAGTAAAGGGGCAGAGAACCGAGGGGACACAGCAGGCAACAGCAAGCCGTGGGAGAGAAATCCAGAGAAAAACTGCAGCAGCCCCAATTCAAATAGAATAGGAAAGAACAAGTTCCACTCACCAACTCTAGCTCCCTATCATAAAATTTCATAACTAAACATCAGCTCATAATGAGCTACACCTCCACTTGATAATAATGAGCTGGCACCACTAGAATTTCAACAACTAAAGCTCAAACCGAAAACAGCCAAGGCCCACATGAAACCAGCAAACAGCCCAAAGGACAAGGTGGACCCCAAAGCTAGCAAACCCAAGGTAAGCATAACCCAAACCTTTTCCTACCATGATCATTGGATTTACCACCATCATTGGATAGCTTAAAAATAAAACACAAAAACTAGAAAATATAACTAATATTGTTCAAAACAAAAATAATGCAAAAATCTAAATGCATCATGTTGGGACACTCAAAGAAAGCCTACAATTGTTTTCTAAAAAGCAAATAAGGGCTACTGGGCCGCCTTAAAAAAAAATACTCTTTTTTAAAATAAGCATCCCAAAGGGCTATCAATTAGAGGCATATGAAACACTTCAATAAAGAATATCATATATCTTGTTCAGACCTTAAAACAATAAACCCTAAATCAAATAATGAACGCCTCATGATGAGATGCGCCTCGAACAATAAACCCTAAATCAAATAATGAACGCCTCATGATGAGATGCGCCTCGAGGCGAATGCCTTGAACGTATTTTTGTAAATCATGTTGTGCACTTCCCATTGTAGCCCAAGTTGCGAAATTCCATAAACCATTAAATTAAACTTCTATTAATAAAGTGATGCAAAACAATATACGTAAAACCATTAGCGACCCAGAGAGTTAGCTCTTTACTTTCCTCCAAAGCTTGTTATACTAAGGAAAAAAAAGATGTATGTAATAAATATTCTAACCAAGAACAAAGCTATAGAGAAACAAGAAAGCTCATAGTATTCACCGTAAGGATAGAACAAGCTGAGGTTCAGGGCCAAGTGCATAAGCCCAAATTGCCCACCAATCGACATGATTGCTAAAAATATCTTGTTTGGCATCAAGCAAACCCTTATCATTCAACAAGTTGACCAAAGCCTTATTCAAGATAGAATCAAGAACTTTTAAAGCAAGAGCTCTTTGTGCGGGAACCTGAGATCAAAACACAAAAACCAGCTTTGAGGATTAAGTTAAAAATTTGAAATCTAACAACACAGAAATAGCATGTATGGCAATAATAACAATATATGGACATTAAGTTTTGAGAAATATATCAAACATCCTATCACAATAATTGCGAGTACAAAGAACCCATCAAGTTAACTGCGAGCATGGCATAAAAACTTTAAAGTGCCTATCAAGTACAACATGTATCCAAATCATGAAATGAGAAACCTGTACTTAAATATGATCCAGTTGATTTCTCATTTATCCACACATTATCTTAGGCATATCCTTCTTTAGTGTAAATAATGTAAGTAAAGGACACAAAACCAGTATTTCCATGGACCTACCTCTAGCTTCACTCGTTCCCTTTAGATCATCCTATATTATGGTAGACCACAGAGCTGCGAACCTAAAACTAGTCTATGTTTTAGGTTAAATATCCCTCATGAGTTGTAAATCAATGGGGTCATTCTCCAAGATTAATCCTTAAACCCTTAATCAAGCAATTTGAAGAGGAATGATCCACCAAGGCTTAAGAGCGATTCTCAAGCATCAAGATAATAAAACACTTGATTCTCGACCATGTTCACAATTCTTCGGGTAACTGTTTAGTAATACAAGGTTGATTAACTAGCAAATTATATTTTTAATTGCCAAGAGATTGACTTTTATTCAGGCTCAAGCAATCCATATGGTAGAAGTTTAAAAGTAGTATTCTAGGATCTGAAGATATAGTGTAATCCCCTTATATCTATCATAGAGTAATGTGTTAGACTGATCCAACCGGTTCAACGGGGATTTTTCAAAAGGTAGATGAGGGAAACTAGGAGGGAAAATTAATATGATGGGAACTGATTTGGAGGGAATTAATTAAGGCATATTTCCTAATTGAATAGGGAAGATTTGGAGGCTGATTTGAGGGGGCTGATTTGGGGGGTAAATAGGATAGATTTGCTAGAGAATTGGGGGATGACTATATGGGTATTTGTTGTTTATTGTTTGCTTTAAGTATGTGATTTTTCTAGGGTTAGATAAATATCATGTTTGCTGAATTTAGATTGTTCTTAGGTTGATTGAGCTCTAGCCGGCAGCTAGAGATTTGAGAGAGCTGGATCTTCCTCTCCAGTTGAAGATCCAATTGTATCTTGTTCTTTTTCAAAGCTATTTCGAATAAAAAAGTATTCTTGCAAGTTCTTTCTCTGATTTTCCAATTTCTGGTTTGCTGAAATCATATTTCAGCAATAGATTTTCACAAATTATGCATCAACTTCCTATCAAATTGATACCGGAGCAATTTTTTGGGCTGAAATAGAAGTCTTCGTTGATTTTTGTTGTGTTTCCTCACCGATTTTGCTATTTTCTGCTGTTTGGAGGCCAAATTTGCATCAAAGTTATTTTTTGTTGTTATTGGAGCCTAAATCAGGATACCTATGGCAGTAAGAAAGGTAGAAGTGTTGGAAGGGGAGATCGGACAATTGAAATCTAAAATTTCAGATCTCCAAACTCAATTGTCAGATGTCAAAAGTCAAATTTAAGACATCCACGAGAAAATGGAAGGAAAATTTTCCATTTTGGAAGAGATATTGAAAAAGTTGCTCGAGGGCCGATCCAAAACAGCATCGTCGGAGGAGAGGAAAGCCTCTAGTAACCAAGGAAGCAGAGACAACCCTAATCCAATAAGGCGAAGTGAAGATTAGCAAGTAGAGATTCTGGTGGGATAAGAGAGAATGTCTCCCCTAGAGCCTTTTCCTAGGGAGGAGCATGGTAGAGGGTATAGGGAGAGGCATGAGGAGGTCGGGCATGAATTAAGGGGTGCTGAATTTGAGAGGAGAATGGTGGAATTTGAAAGGGGAGGCTAATTAAAATCGAATGTGTGCTGAATTTGAAAGGAGAGGGTTGATTATGATTAAAGGGGTGCTGAATTTGAAAAGCAAATGGCTGAATTTGAAAGGAGAGGGCTGATTATGATCCAAGAGGTGCTGAATTTTAAAGGAGAATGTGGGAATTTGAAGAAATGATTAGGTATGAGCATAGAAGGGATGATTAGAACACATGGGGGAACCACCCCCTTGGGGAATGGGAAATTAGGAGGAAATAGGGGGAGTAGAGGAGATCCAAGGGTGAGTAAGCTGAAGATGCCTATTTTTTAGGGAGATGATGCCCATGGGTGGATCTAAAAGGTGGAAAGGTACATTACCTTTAATAGGTTGATAGAGGAGTGACTGATGGCAATCGGAATGTGCTTGGAGGGTAAAGCGTTGGCATGGTACTACTAGTGGAGGGATATGAGATGACCCATACAAACCTAGAGGGAGTTTAAAGACTGCTTGTTCGAATGTTTCTGAATTAGAAGGGGACGGGATTTTGAGCAATTCTCTGGAATACCGTGAACAGTTTGAGCACCTGGCCAGCAGACTGGTCCGACTTCCGAAGACTGTACTTGAGGGGAACTTTACGAAAGGGTCTAAACTAGATATTCGAGTGGCAGTTAGAGTGATAAGGTCTCGTGATTTGGGAGAAGGTATGGAGTTAGCCCAATTAGTGGAAGATCAAAGGCACCTTGAGAGAGGGACTGGAGGCAACATCTTAGAATGTTCGTACATGATGATCACAAGCTTTTTAGCATCCAAGGAGCCGACATCGGGTAATTTGAGAGAGACCCCAAAGGAGAATACTACAGGAGGGAGACCTAGAGAAAACTTCAAGAAATTCATAGAACTGAAGTTACAAGAGAAGAGGGTGAAGGAGCTTTGTTTCAGATGTGAGGAGAGGTATACACTGTGGCACCGACGTAGAGACCGATCTCTTTAAGTTCTCACCATTTGTGATGACAAGGAAATTGAGGAAGGAGGTGTCTTTCCACCTTGCGGACAAGATTTGTCTTTGGATGGGGGAATTATTAGACCACCCCAGAGGGGATTTTTTCAAAAGGGAGATGAGAGGGAAAATTAATATAATGGGGGGCTGATTTGGAGGGGATCGATTAAGCAATGTTTCCTAATTAAAGAGGGCATATATAAGGGTTGATTTGGGGCTGATTTGGAAGGGATTAAATCAGGAAATATTTCTTAATTAAAGAGGGAAAATTTGGGGGCTGCTTTGGAGGAAATTAGTTAGGAAATATTTCCTAATTGAATAGGACAGATTTGGGGGCTAATTTGAGGGTTGATTTCAGGGGAAAATAATTAAAGAAATAGGACAGATTGAGAGAATTGGGGGAGGGCTGTTTTGGTATTTGTTGTTTATTCTTTGCTTTAAGTAGGTGATTTTTCTAGAGTTAGGGAGATGTCTCCTCTCCAATTGTATATTGTTCGCTTTCATAGTTATTTTGAATAAGTGTTCTTGTGAGTTCTTTCTCTGGTTTTCCAATTTCTGGTTTGCTGAAATCAGATCTCAGCCATAGATTTTCACAAATTCTGCATCCACTTCCTATCATAATGATTAATGAATGGCCCAAGGAGAATATGGACATTCATTACAAACACATTATTTTAAATTTGGTTAGTGTAATTGTCTACTGATAAATAAACTATGTTGGGCAATAAGAAGGAAGGTCTTTTGATCAAAATGATATTAAAGGGTTAAGTATGTGGCCTTAATCCGAATATTAATCATTAAACCACATCATGCATGGCTGATCAATGGCATTTCTTCTTTTAGCCATCCTCAAGAACAACGGTAAAAAAAGATGCATCTTATGACACTAAGTTAGATGTGTTAGCCATCATTATATTACAGGTCATTATGATTAGAGATGGATTCATGTTCCTCAGCATACTTGGTTGGAATGATCCTTAACCTAGAAAGCTCAAATGGATTCTACTCAACAATCATGGCCAAATGAAGGCATAGACTAGTAAATGATCCTTCTTCTAGCAGTAAAAACAAGTGATATCACTACCTTGTGCCCTGGCAATGAAGGGGTAAGGTATTCTTTGTTCCGTGGTTGAGTTCCTTGGCTGGTAGAGGCATTGGTCCATTAAAGGGGCAAGTAAGGTTCAGAATCAAAGGGCTTTGCAATAGATGTACTAGGCAGCCTTGCCATGCTTTTGTTGGGAAAATGTCTGTGATACTGAGGCCTCATCCAATGACTCAAAAGGAACAAAGATTAACCTCCTTTATGTTATCAAGCCAAAAAAATCCATTGATATACTTATACATGACTACCTCAGGTTCTGGAAATACATATTTTCATTAATGCAATCAAACTATACCTAAACATCCACTGCATCTAAAGAGTGAAAAACTACAGTAAACAAAGACACTAAACAAAGTATGTAATTCATGCCGAAGTTTCTTTTAAATGTCATTAAGCAAGTCACATAACTAGCGAATGCCTGAATAAAACTTTGCGTATTCAAGTTACAGAAGAAAACAAGGATGATAAGAGATGATGAACATGAATCAAAAGAAATATTATTTATCGTGAGAGTTGTTTGAATGTTGTTATTAAGTAAGACATTGAACACATGAATTTGAAAGTAAAATTGCATCCACAACTTTACAAAGTAGCTCGAACAAATGAAACTGTAATTTATGTTAAGTCAAAGTTACTCGGTACCCATCCAACACGCTACACATGGACAAAAAATCTAGTATGATATTTTATCTATAAATTTTACAAATGCCATTTTTTATTAGATATGACACATTTTAGAAAGTCCACGAATTACGTATTTACAATAGAAAGAGGATAGTTTTGAAACCTACCAAATCTAAGAACCCTTCTCTGTCAAAAAAGTCTTCTAATGAACTAAGGAAATCTTTACATGTTTTGAATCAACATGCTTGTGAAAAAGAGAATCAAACAAAGTTAGTTACTAAATTAAATAATGACATAAGTAATTATGTACTTATAGATGCTAGTTAATTGCTATTTAAAGTTAAAGAATTATATCTTAATGAGCTTTCTACCGAATCATCTCTATTTTAGGAATCATCTCTATTTTAGGAATATACAATATTCCATTGACTTGATTTCTAGATCAAAATATCTAACTTGCTATGATATGAGGTGAATCCAACTGAGCATGCTAAGCTTAAAAAGACATGCAGACAAATTGCTTAGGACAAGAATTATTATGGAGCATATAAACCTTTGTGTTATTCCTACGCCACTTACACCTAAAAAGGATGATAGTTGGAGGAAGTTTGTGGATCATCAAGTGATTAAGAAGATCACGATCTAAGATTAATTTCCTAGAACTACATTGGATGATATGTTGGATATGATGAATGCTGTGGTAATTTTCTCAAAGTTTGACCTGAGAAATGGTTACTATTAAATAACATTGAGGATGGATGACAAATAAAAACTATTATTAAAATTAATGATTATGCATATGAATGATTGGCAATGCATTTTAACTTGACAAACACATCAAACACTTTATGAGAATCATGAACCATATTATTCGATATTTTTTATTGGAACATTTTCATCATGTGCTTTGATGATATTCTGATTTACAACAAAACAATCAAAATAGAACTAAGAGAAACACTCAAAAATAAAAGAAAATGATAAAAAAAGAAGATGAATTACATAACTCGAAAAAAATATATGATGGATCCAACTAAACGAGCTGACCTTACGAGACGTGGACAAATTGCTTAGGTAAGGAATTCTTACAAAGAATTATGAGCCTCTATTGTTCCTACACTAAATACATTGAAAAAAAATGGTAGTTGGAGAATGTTTAAATATTCACATGATTAATAAGATCATCATCAAATATCAATTTCTTAAAAATAAGATGGAGGATATGTTAGAAATGATTACTAAAGCTATTATTTTTTATAATAGTGATCTAAAACATGGTTTACCATCAAGTGATAATGAGAGAGGTTAATGAATGAAAAACTACTTTTAAAGCAAAAGGTGATTTTTATGAATGATTAGCAATGCCCTTTAGATTGAAAAATGCATTAGGCACTTATGAGAATCATGAACCATAATCTTCAACCTTTTATTGAAAATTTCCATCTATTTAGTTTAATGATATTCTGATTTTCAGCAACACAAGGCTATAAGACAACTAAGAGAAAGGCTCAAAAATAAAAGAAATGAGAGGGCGGGCAAGCAAGGAGAGCATGAATAACCTAACAACATAAAATGTATCATCGCTATGATAAATCAAAACAACTGTGCACAGTCTATAGTGAAATTGTTTGCCCATTGTCTTTTAACTCAAAAAAACAATGGACAATGATGAATAGAAGACCAATGTAATAAAAAGCTGGCCATGGATTGCGGGAACATGCAACCCTCAAGGATTTAACCCCCATTTGACTAGTTGTAGTTGAGATGTGTAACTCTCTCCCATCTTTATCATGCAAGAAATCTACAATGTGCCCTTCAATTAAATAAAAATACTACTAAATAAGAATATTATATTATATAGAAATATCACATGCACCTCTACAAAACTTTGAGGATTGCATTCTAATATGCTATATATGTAACTATGCTTAATTATTATAACACCCTCCTGTATAGCTAAACAAGCTACTACATATCAGGACTCCCAATAAATTATTTAATGATATTCTCAAAGTGTACAATACCATATTTCAGAATTTTTTTTTATGATCCTCCCTAATATAATAATATTTCAGACCAAGGTAACCAAGAATAACCTTCATCAATACTGGTGATGAGAAAATATGCCTTATGATAATCAATATTCATCATGGTAAATTCTGTGCTTGTAATAAATTCAAAATGAGGCCATCTAGTAGGAAGCATGGCCCTTAAAGAAGCACACTGCACATGCGAAAAAAAGAATTACAAAATTATGAAAACAAAAGACAAAATACTGACCATGCTTCGAATCAGCGCTATCACTTCCTTGATTGAGTATCCTAAAGCTGCAGGATCCCCCTCCGTTCGCAGGAAATCACGTTCTGCTACATTTCCAACATCAGGTTGAACACCTTCAGGCTTGCACCCTGCATGTTGCAATGACAAAACTACCATATAAACAGATAAAGGACAACATAGATATGATGATCTAGGAATAATAAATGCAGTAGAAAGTAATTTAAAGGCTTTTGATAGTTTCCATGACAATGAATCTAAGGCTTCGTTTGGGACGACTTTTTTGTTGCTTCTTAAAACAGCTTTTTAGTATAAAATTTTATTTTTTTAGTAAAAAACTGCTTTAAGAAGCAACAAAAAAGCCGTGCAAAATGAAGCCTAAGGTTGGCTATTAGTCATCGCATCATTCTATAAAGAGAGGGTATGTTATCATATAAAAATGAAGTTGGGCAGGCAATTGTTAACCTGTAAGCCTCTCCTTAATAATTTACAAATCAATATGCTAAAAAAAGATTATTCTTCTTGGTTTCATATTACCAAGTTGAGAACTTACCACTAGATGCCTGATAAGAATCAGCATCTAACAAATCACCTTCTAAGGTAAACCTCAACTCCCTCACTTTCTCCACTCTTTCACTCCAAATCTTCCAAGAGTTGCTCTTAACTTGTCCTGCAGACACCCAACCTGCATGGCCTGCTGCCATTCCGGCAACCTTGGAACCTTGGGATGACGGTTCATTTCCAGCATTATTCTTCCCCAAATTCTCACCACTTTCAACCAGATAATCACTAAACATATTCTGATCACCCTTTTTCTGACCTGAGGCAATGCCCTCCCTGCCACCAAACTTTTTTTGCCCCCTTTTCTTCAACATCTCAACAATTGCCGGATTCATCTTTCCAACTATCTCTTTCTGAGCATCCTCAATCTCCTCCGGTGACATCTGCTTCAAGCGCGCAACATTCTCTGCGTGGATGTCTTCCATAGCTGACCCAAATCCTTGCCTGTTCAACATCAGCATCTTTGTCTCCCAATCATCGTTTCCAAGCTTCTCAGTGGCGCCTGCAGCCAGCTCCATAGCATTACTTTGCGAGAACTGCATTCCAGGTTCATCATTTTGACGGACCAAATCCGTGCTAGGTTTAACCCTTTTAACAGAGGATCCCTGAACCGACTCCTCAAATCCATCATCACGGCAAGGAGAAAATGACGTGGACAAAATTTTCTTATTTTTCTCTTCAGTGGATTTCGGGACAGCAGAGTCGCCACGGGAGACGAAATTCCTCCGCCCGCTAAAGTCCAAGCCTTTCTTCTCTTTTCTCTCGATTGGGTTCGCGAAGGCCGACATGGGGGCGTATTCCGTCTCGTCATTGTCAACCTCTTCTTCCAATTCCGGCGCGACGTGCAAAGGATTCCAGTGCTGGAGGTAGGTAACTGGATTGAGAATTAGAGGGCAATGTGAAAGAGGAAAAAGGTTTAATTAATGATACCTTACCGGGCCGTGGGAGCGATGGCGGGCGACGGGGAAAGGAACGACCGTTGGTTGGGGGAAAGAAATGAAGGAAGGCTTTTGGGGATTGGATGACGAAGAAGAAGACGAAGAGAAGCCCTTTTCAATGATGCTGCCGACAAGGCCCTTGGAGGTGTGGATTTTTTCGATGTGCTGCTTCGTGGAGGATAAATCGGCTTGCTTAGGTTTCCGGGAAGCAGGAGACGTCATAGTGACTCTCTCTGGTTCCATGTTAATCCTCTAATACATATAAAGCTGGGAGTTTAGAGGAAAAAAGAGCAACTTTGGTGTTCCAAGAGACGGCCTGGTTGATTGGCGATGTCGCCTACTATTGTTGCAGAGACGAGAGACCTATATACAACGGGGGTTTGCCGATAATCGACGTAGACGACGGCAGAAGACGACGGCGGTGGAAGTGGTTCAGGGTTTTGGAGCCTGTGGGGGCAGAAAAATTATTGGGTCAGGTGACCGAAGCCATCTCTCCGTTCGGTCGCCAATGGAAATGCGACATTTGTTAGGCGTTTTTTTAATTTATTATTAACGCTTTATGTCTTGTCAGATTAGCGACCCGACCCGATAACGCCTTTCATTTGAATTCCGGGAAATAAAGAATGGAAACGCCGCGCGACATCTTCACTGTTACTCCAGCTCCAGCTTTGGTTAGCGCTCTCGGATTCCTCCATTTCCTTCGGTTCTGCATTAGCTTATTCCTGCCGGAGGTAGACGACGAAACTGTAGCAGATCATAAATCAGGAAGAGGTATGGTTGCGCCTGTTCGAAAGCGTCAAATTGAAATTCAAGACGATAGCTCACTCGCTGCAAAGGTTGCCATCTTTCTCCACAACACAAATCTAGCGTGCATTCTACTTTAAACCAGCTACCAAACAACCCCCTAAGAAGGAGTTGGTTTGCTCAAGAACAAGTGCAAAGAAAAATAGGATTTATAGTGAATATTTAGTTTAAATAAACTGATTACAGTGCAAATGTTTAATGATTGTATTGGCCGGTAGTTGATAGTGATGGTAAGCGGCACATAGATCTATGAGCTCACAAACTCCTCCACTGCCATTTTGAACTTTACATTCATTTATTTTACTTCAAGTGAACTTAAAAAGTAATATCATGCATTCCTTATATAGTCATACAAACAATTTTATGCAATTCAATTACATAGACCGATGAGCCCATGAATGAGTCGAGCTTGAGCTAGCTCGCAAGCCGGCTCGGCTCACTTACACCCCTAATCTTATCCATATAAATTGGGGACCTTATCCATATTTATAATTAATTTTTCATATTTCTACTTAGCATATTATAAAATAAAAAATATGAAACTAGGTCTCTAGATATAATTTATGTTATACCTAAAGACCTATTTACTTAATTTCAATTATATCACTTAAAATAAAAAGCTAAACTTTAAGATAGTCTATAGTACACATTAAATCATATTTAATCCCACATATTCAATTATTTTTTCAATACAATCCCATCAACTCCTCAAGTAACACCTTCAAACACTAAGGTAGAGGTTCCAAAATAAATTTGAATTATTCAAATTTGCACTAATTGCAATGATTGGAGGGTCATTATTGTTCGATGGTGGTTAGTTAATTATAGTTATGCATTGATGGTTGAAATGTTATAGTTAGGCATTAGTGTTTGGAGAAAAATTATAGAGAAATGTAGGTCGATTATCGTGATTGGAAAATGGTGTTATGAGATTGTAATTGGGTGATTTTGGTCAAAGAGCAACATTTGGGCAATAGTGATCAGAGGATCGTAGTAGAATGATGGTGGTCTAATGGAATTGTTCAAACAGTGGTGGTCTGATAGTGGTGTTCAGATGGTGGTGGTCCAATGGTAGTCTGACGATGGTGATTAGATGGTTGAGTCTAATGATGGTGAAAAAAATGACTGTTGTTCGATGACGGTGGTCGAATTATGATAGTCATTCAGAGTTTTAAAAAGCTTCTGAGCTATCCATCTTCCCACAATCCACCTCCACATTGAGAGTGATATTTTAATAAATTTAGCAAAATCTCAAAAAAATATTATTGAACGCCCCATATTGATTTTCTTGATCATAGACCATTAATTAGTTATTTGAGTGTCTTAAAATTTTAAGAATTAAGCAATTTTAATGTTGTTTGATTTGTATTATTAAGAAGTTCTATTTTATTATAAACATATAAGATTAATAGAACATTTGACCCTCTAATTAATCTCTCAAAATTCTCACTTATTTGAGTGAGAACTTCATTAATCGATGTTGACATTCACTATCACTCGTTCAAAATATTATCCAAATTATTTTATTTTAAAAATATTATATTATAATGCCATGCCTAATATATATCATTCTCATATTTTCAATAATAAATGTATTCAATATCCATGTTGTATCATGTTTGTGTTGTCGTGTATGTATAAATGCATCATATTAACTATACTTAAATAAATAATAATATTTGTTAATATAATTTAAAATATCATAATTTCATTAATTGATTATTAAATATTAATGTTAATTAAAGATTAAATTAATTATCATTTTAAAAATAGTTTATATCAATTAATTTATTGATTTAATTTTCTAAATTTGACTCAATGATTAATAATTGTTCAAAAATTGAATAAAGTGAGCTTGTAACACCTATGCCAACTATTGATTGGATCAAAAAGGCTTAAAGCTGATTTTAAGTCATTGTTGACTTGGCTCATATGAAATGACCCATTAGATAAATAAAATTACAAAGACTCGTTCTATGTTGCATATTAACTCAATCTCTTGTGATGGCTAAGAATGGTGGAGAACATTAATAAAAACATTTCGATCCAACAATAGTGGCAGGATGACAACAATTCGAACTATGACAATAGGCTGATGATAGTCAAACAACAATAGCTCGGCCACATTGAATGAGCAATGGCAATTGGGGAATGAAAATTGGACAATGGTGAAGGGAATGCTACGGTCGAGAAACAACGATAAGATGATGGTGGATGAGTGAAAATAGTCGAGCAACGGCTGTTGTGGAATAATAGTTGAACCATGGTGAATGGACTATGATTGGTAAGTGATAAATGTCAAATTATGGTGGATAAGTGATGATATTTTGGCAGTCGCAGTGACAACGATAATGGTTGGCATTGATTGTTGGCGTTGATTGTTAGGTAGAGCTCTAAAAGTTTTTCAAATCTTGATGTCACTTCAATCTAAGTCCAAGGTCTCCTTCATATGAAAATTCAGGATATTATTTTTAGTATTTTAGAATGTTATTTTTGTAACTATAATCAAAGTCATAAAACATTCCATCAAATGACTAAATATATTCATTCGATCATTTACCAATTTTATACTATTTAAGTACCTCAATGATCTCAAAATTGAATAATTTTAGGCTTGCTTGATTCCTTCCATCGAGATGCTAGCTTTGACTATAAGCACACAAGATTCAAATATTGTTAGGCCTCTCAATTGATGTCGTAAGTTTCCAACCATGTTTCAAGAGCTTGATTTGGGCTCATTTAGTGTTTGATCGAATCACTTTTTTCATTGTTGTGTTCATCTCATAAGAGCATTCAGTTCAATTATAAGTTTATTAAAATTAGAGTTTAGATGATCCTAAAATCAACCCTGAAAGTTTATTGCATCTATACTTGTGCAAGTTGATATATTTTATGATGACATAAGAACGCATAATCTTTATTTTAAAAAATGTAATAATCCCATAAATTATACGGGATTACTTCCTCATTATATTCAAATTTTACAATTATGCATCAAATAACAAATATAAAATAGTTTTGTCTATACTATATTGCTTTATCTTTGGGACAACCTTAAAACTTCTGATTTCTTGATCACAGTTATTATAAATTTTTAATTTAAAATAAAATTATCAAATTGAGAATTTATAGCACATAAATCAATTTTTTACTATATATAATATTTTCTTTCCAAGTTCCAATAATAAAAATTCTTAATTTTTTTTAAATAAAATCCTTTTAATTTTTTTGCCTAAAGCCATAGACCATTTGATTCAAATTTAGCACCCTTAATTATTTATAAAGTGCTATATGGATTGGAAACAACACAGTGGATTATTGAACCCACAGATGCTGATGAGGGCCGGTGCAGCCATCATGAAGACATGGGCCTTTAATATACAAAATTGGGCCCATTCCATTTATATCAACGGAGCAAGCAGAGCCCAATTGGCCCAAAGATAAGAATATTCTTGGCATTTGTTTAAAAAAATTGCTAAGCAAATTAATTGGCATTAATTAAAATGCTACTAATTAAATGTAATCTTTGTATTTTTATAATTTTGTATGTGAGTGTATGAAGCTATAGATTTTTTCTTGGGCTAATTTGAGAGTCAAAACGTAAATATGATAAAATATTGCAGACTCATATTTCTCAATAGATTATTTGAGGGATATTATCAAATTTGGTAAGTACCATAGCCATTATTTCTATTTAAGTGTTTGATTTGATGATTAGGGAAGTTTTCATAGAATTTTATTATGTATTATTCTATATTGGTTGTTTAAATTATTATCTTGTTGTGGCTGATAAATTTATTTATTTATTTCTATGTTTGATTTCATATTTTCATACTTAAGAACTTTTTACTCTATGTTTTTTTTTTTATATATTTTTTTATTATATGAATATGGGGATCTACTTATTAGTACATCGTTAGAACTATGTTTGATTATAGTAGATTTTCTATTGACATGCTGTAAATGCTTCCCTTTCCATCCCAACTATAGTTAAGAAATTGGTTGTTTTGGTTTGGGTTAGTACTTTTCTTTCTATCTCGTAAGGTGTGGGTAGTAGGTAGTTATAATTGGATTCTTTCAAATTTATTGCTCTTTTTATTTTATGATTTATGACATTAATGTTCATTATATTTTTATGTTAACTTCTAATTGATTTGAGTTACTTTGATATGGGTCTCTCTCTCTCTCTCTCTCTCTCTCTCTCTCTCTCTCTCTCTTATTTCTTTGTTTTTGTTTTTGTTGGTTTAGTTTCTTTGATAATGGCATGATCATTCCTTGTTCTAGAAGCATCATGTTTTTATGACGTGCTACTTTTATATGTTGATTATAGTGGCCATCATGACGATATATGTTGAAATTATTCCATTTGTTAATATTTTGTTGCCAATTAACTTATAAGCCTTACATAATAGAAAGCCTAAAAAAATTACAATGAGTATTCCAAAGATACAATGGTGAAGAAAAAGTGGCTAAAAGTAATGAAATATTTAATGCATATATATATAATGGCTACTCTATTGCATGAGCATATGAACATTCTATAGTTTTTTTTTTTTTTTTTGGATAAAACCCACTTATGGGGCCTAAGCGTTAATATGAACATTCTATAGTTAAATCAATACAATTATATGTAAATCTATATTAAATTGAAT